ACAAGCTCGAGCAGATTTGGAGGTGACAAAGAAACATTTTAGAGAAGAACTGGAAGCATATGGTCCCAAGGGACCCAGTTGGGACTATGTCGCCTTCTATGAAGAACTGTGCAAAAAGTTCCTCAAAGGAAAAATAGAAGAACAATATGGAACTAACTTAGTGGCCAGCTCAGAGTCCTTGACATTTTTATCCTGGAACTATGGCAACATGGTTCGTGGTCAGAAATACACCACACCAAGGTTTCTCCAAGGACTTGATCGTGCAATGAAGCCACGCAAACAGAGTGACATGTCACTTCAATATGAGCAATTTGAAAACAACCTTTTCTTCAACATGCTCTTCTTTTTACGCGCACATGTCGTGATTCTCCAGGAAGCTCATCTCCTTGTTCCTGCCAAGGATTTTCTTGAGCAAAAGAATTGGACAGTTTGTTTCAATGATTGGGAGAATCTTGCAGTGATGGCTAGATTGGCACCAGGTGGATATGTAAAGGTCATTGCTGGACATGACCAAGACCTTGGTCACTGTCAACAGCGTGTTGTAACTTGGGCTATCTATGAGATTTGTTTTGGAGAAACAAGGCCTCGTCAAGATTTCAAGGATGCAGACTTTGAATTTGAGGACTATGGTCCTAAGGACCAGCGTGTTCCACTTACTCGAGCGAACACGCATACCATCAGAGTCTGTAATTATCATGTTGACACACACCGTGCTGTGGATGCCCACCTATTGACAGGAGAACAGACAGCATTGATGCTTTATGAGTGTTTTGTATATGAGGTGGACATCATTTCTGGTGATGCAAATAGTTTGGCCTACAGAATGTCTGGGTACAAAAGGCAGCCAATGGCTAACTATTATTACAGCACCATGCAGCATTGGATCCGCAGGTTTTCAGAAGCCCGTGTAGCAACAGATCCTGGTATCAAAGCACCTATTCCCAGAACATTTTACAGTTCATCTTCACATGTCCTCAAGCAGTGTGAAGTTTACTTTGAGAAACTCTGGGAAGAATACTCTACAGAAGAAAAAGAAATATACCAGGGATCAAAGCTTGGCGATACGTGTTTGTCTACCATTGTTGAATGGGGTCATTCAATGAGTGAAGAGGAATATACAAATTCCACAGTGAGCACGAAGGAGTTCGTCTGTAATTTTTCAGAGAACTTTGCTATAATTGACACGGAGGTTATGTGCTCACCCTCTGACAATGACAGTCATGGTCCAATGTTTATTTCACTCAGACCAGCTTCCCTTTCATCTGGAGACAGGAAGCTTTATCGCTGGGGCGAGACTCTTAGAGAGTCTAACTTGCGGAGGAAGGAGAGACAGAAGGAGAATAAAAGGAAAGGAAGGCCACCAACTTCTGATCAAGCAGCTCCATCGACTGCAGCGGCAGAAACTCAGAGCGGAGGCTGAATCTTAAATGATGGCTAGGAAGTGAAGATACTTCTGATTACAGTTGATACTTTGCTTCCAGGTTTGACTTTAAGTTGCCAGGCTGAAGTTTTAATGAACTCTGGTTGGCAACAAGGAGAAACTTTTTATCAAAGAAGATACTCCTGCATTCCAGGTTTATAAGCTTTAGCATGCAGATAAATACAGTTTTACTAAACGGATATTATCTGCAGGTAGGTATGGACAGTTTTATAGAACTGATGATATCTACCACAGCCGCTCTTTTGGAGTGACCTCTAATGGACAACCATTTATGGTTGATGATTAAGTCATTTTATGAATTTGCAATTGTAGTGCAAGATTTTTGTACATACATTTGCCGGTATCTCCTTCCTTTTTGTTTTTGGCTGATTTTTGGTATCAATGTGAGAGAGTCCTTTTGATGCAGTTCAAATTTTTTGTATAAGTCCTGTGTATGGAAGCGGCCGAGACCACTTTTCGAGAAGACCATTCCTCGGACCTCCTTGCATTTTGCAAGGCATCTTAATTCATTGCATTTTGTGCGGTCTTGAAATTTTAGTTTTTTCGTTACGCGGGTGTCGTTTACTGCTTTTATAGGTCTCTGTGCAAAAGAAGCCGCTTTCCTTTTGAATTTAGAATTTTCTGAAGGATTGACAGCTCTGGCTATTTAAGGGCTATTGAGCGCCGGTACTGGTATCTTCGCCGGTGAACGATACAGTCTCCAGCCGAGATACATTGTCTTGACTTTGTATTTGAGGTGAGTAAGCTATCGCTCCCCCACTGTATCTAGTATACCTTGAGATTACCTTTTCTATAGTGTGCAACACACTGGAATTGGTAAGTATAGGGCACCGTAGTTTCCTTTTTAAGCTTACTAGAGCTTGCTGGACTGTTTTAGCCTTACGGTGGAAAAATAGTGTGCGACATACGCAATAGGCTGGAGTGGACATGAATTTTGTGCCTGCTGAAATGTAAAGGCCTACTTGTACAGGTTCCACTCCAGTGGCCTATCTAGTGTGTCCATGCTTGACTGCCATAAGGTTCAAGAGGATAAGACTCTGCGTAGAAAAAGACACTAGCGGTCTGCACCTCAACCGTGTAGTCACTCTTTCACCCCCCGCCCCCTCGTTGGGTGGACGACAGTCGCACGACCCCCCCCCCCAAAGCGTGTTTCAGACGTTTCCTGCAAAGGGTTCTCAAAACCAAGAAATGGGGGGGACCTGTCTAAATGTAAGCTACATTTCTTAGACCCCCCCCCCCCCCCCCCCAAAAAAAC